GTGGCAGACTGATAAGTTGGGATCATGGTGGGTAAATCAAAGAAGTGATGTTAGCTTCAGTTTTCATGACAACCGTCTTGTCACACGCTTTATAAAGTAGCGAGCTATCATGACAAATCATTGATACTTCTCATTACCTCTTATGTTACAGTTCACCGATCAGGAGATGGCTACGGCTCTCGAGGTCCTGCTAGACATCCTCCCTGCCACACCCTCTGCAATGTCGTTCCTGTCTATTCTTCAAACACGAGTGAGTCATATACGCGGGTCGACCAGTGTGTCATCGAGATGGGACATGATCATCAGCATCCCCTTGATGACCCTGGTATTTTACAGTTGCCACAACGTTCCCTGCAGGCACTGCAAGTTCTCATGGCAAGGGATTTGAAGCATTGGGTGTCGCATGCCCACCTATCATTGACTTTGTACGGATCAATAGGGAACCTTACTGAAAGCAAGATTCTATACCTCCTGTGAGTATGTTTCGTCTAATTTGGAGTAACACCATGACAGCAGGACGAATTATTTCTTACACCCTTACTTTACATTATCATTGCAGAGACTACATGATGAGCAAATAAATAAAGTGTTTGATAATAAGATGCTTGATGTATATCCTTTAAAACCTAATCCTTCTCTGAAATGCTCAATATGATTTACTCCTTTTATAATCTATTACAATTTTTAAGCCATACATTCCATTCAAAAGGGTAGTTTCGTGCGTAATACATCGGTAGGATGGAATTGGTCACTTATTTTACTGAATAGCTTGATAAATTTAAAGTAACACTCCCCAGCTTTTAAAGCAACATTTGATTTTAAGAAGTCAATAAACGATGTGAAATTGTTCATTGGAGCATGCAAGCAGAGAGGAAAATACTCATTGAACTGGCTTCTCTATTTTTCTGGCAATATTTTTTTTTTTACATTGAATGATGTAAAAACTGCCATTTGGCATTTTGTACAGATGCACTGATGTAGCAGTGTTTTACTGCTGTTAATAGGTAACAGTAAAAAGAGGGTGAGAGAAAATATAATTTGGTTTTCAAACAACATAAAACTGGTTGTTTTAGTACTAAATTGAAGTTTGTGGGTGGAGAAATAAAGTTTTCACAGCCACGGCCAAATATGACCTGTTATGGATCGGGAAAGGTTCTTCTGCAAAGAAAGTTGCTCTAGGGACCCTGAATGGTCAACAAAGCACCATTTGTTATAGAGAATTAAGAAATTAGAAGACAATACCCTTCTCTGGGCACCAAAATGATAAGGGAATCACAAAGTATTGGGAAAAGCATTTAAAAAAAAATACATGTTTCCAATGTAAATTATTATGATGTAATATTTTAGAAAACAGGTGAGAAGTATTATCCAGTTCCCTAAATGAATTCCTTATGATATTCTGAGGTAAGAAAGACAATACAAGAGCATCCAGGCACATAACTGCTCTTAAAAGTTGACATAATCAGCATGGCATAATTTGGGAGAAATATGCAAACTTGCTTATGTAACTTTGGGCCTTGACAGAGAACCATTTGCCCCACATCAAATCCAATTACATTTTTGGAAACTAGGTTTTAGAGTGCTTCTTTTGAGCCTAAATTGAACGATGGGGAAGGAGAACTACAGATTTAGAGCCATAAGCAAAAATATGAATTCACAGACTAGGATTCACAAGGTGGGTATGGGAGGTGAACCTGGAGAACTGTGCTGGCTACATGCACAGGGCAGGATTACGGTTGCAGCCTCGGCGTCCTCGTCAGCAATACCCCGCACACTCGCGCTGCTGTCGATACACCCTGCGACGATCTGTTCATGTAGCTGGAAACTGTATTAGTAGACCATTCTAACTCTTTTGTTAAGGAATACCTGAAAGACTTTTCGAAACATGCAACAAGAGAAGCAATCAGCCGATGGAAGGTATGAATCAAGGTTATGTAGTTTTTTTTTTCTTAAGTATTGGTATTATCTGGTATAGGAAAGATATGTTTTGTAGGCTCAGGGGTATTCCCAGTTGCACAATCCACATTTATCCCAGATAAAGAAACATTCTCCCTGAATTTGAACTGCTCCTATTGATAGCAATGACTGATATAATCCCCCCGAATAAGATTGAAAGCTTTCACTGTCACAGTTTGTATACTTAAACCTCACTCCTACTTTGCTGTTGAATGTGGGGACACTTTATATCTGACCACATGCACACTAATTCACCGTTTCAAATATTTCAGGAATGAAAAATCTAATGCAATGGAAGGAGAATGCAAGAAGATTCCTCGGGGAACCCAATTCCCCTTGAAATGCAATGCTTGGACTCAGACCGAACCAGTGATCATTAGATCCGTATCTCAGAAGAGTGATGGCTCTACCCAGAAGTGACTATGTAGTCTTCTCAAGATTCCAAATATTTTTTTTTTATTTTATCCTTTTATATATACTTCTTTATGTCCCTATACATAGATTTACTGCAGTATATATTAATATGTACCTCATTAGTCTAACATGGTAAAGTTTCCACTTTTTATACTTTGATACTCAATAAAAAAAATTGATGACACTTCATTTGACCAGGGAAATGATTTGTAGGGGCTGGAACCTACCAATCAGAGCCTTAGAGAGACCCGTTCACAGTTTGTTTTTGCTAAATGGGACTATATTGGTGACTTGTCAGGTCACAGGTATTTTTCCCTTAATCAGCAGCTGAAGGGGAGCAGATTCACTTGTTTCCAAAGATATTTTCAAAAATTTAATTTTTCACAAGTTCCCTGTCAGAAATAAATCAGAGAAAATATTTGGAGATGAGACGCAAGGCTGAAACTTTGGAACAAGAAACTTTGGACATTAACTTGAATCAGGCCACACTTTCAGACCTCAGGGTTAGTATTAAGGGGGTTCCAGGGGCTGGAACCTACCAATCAGAGCCTTAGAGAGACCCGTTCACAGTTTGTTTTTGCTAAATGGGACTATATTGGTGACTTGTCAGGTCACAGGTATTTTTCCCTTAATCAACGCGTGAGGAGGAGCAGAAAATTTTATTTAACTGAAAACAGTTCTGTCAAAACGCGGAGGATTCCAGCAACTTGGGGAATACACCATGCCTTTCCGATCAACTTTCTCCTCTTGGTTATACTTAAATTTCCCACAGCAGTATGGTTGTCAGGAAAACCTTGGAGCCTTTCTAATTCAAGAATGTAATAATTGTCTTGGCCATGCCTCCCAGACACTGGTTCAATGCCACCTAAAAATACAAATTGTGAATAGATTAGAAGATTTCCATTTATTTTTTGTGTACTAAACTTATTCTTCATTCATGCTCACCCTTTATTTGGTTAGAGGGGTTCGATGTAATTGTTGAGCATCTGGAGTAGTTCGCCTTACGGCCCGGGCACAGCAGTTCATCAATTTTAATGGGACTTGTTCTACTCTCCTGCTCCTCTATCTGGGGAACATTGGTCCAGAACAGTCTTTCCCTATTCACTGGCAGATACCATCCTGCATCTGTCTTGAGAGGTTTCTGCCCCACATCACTGCACAAAAAGGTGGATAATTATGTAAATCAAACTAAAGTATTGCCTTTTTATTCAGTTTGATAGCTGGAGGTGTGTTGTATACCATACCGAGTCATGGTTTCCCAGTCCTTAAGTTCCATATGAGCTGTCATCTCCATCATCCATAGGAAGAGATGTCCATGCTCAGCTGCCTTTTGGATCATGATGTCCCTTATTCGGATGAACTCCTTGTAGAGACATGATTCAGATGTGGGATCTACATAGGATTGAATAATGATGACAGGATTAATTGCTTATTTTAGTACGATTAACTTGTTACAGTGTTACACATTTACCAGAGAGCCCTTTTTTATTTGCATTCACAGATGACACCTGGCTACATGGTGGCCCTGAAATAGAAGAGTTAAGAGATTTTGATAGTGCAGTTATTACATAGAAATAAAAGTAGAAGATTTGGCTTCATTAATTACGATTCTATATTTTGTTTGTTGAGAACGCTGCACTAATGCTTACCTCCAATCAGCAAATCAACTCTTCCCAGCACATCCAGTAGATCACCTTTCAATCCCCTCACATCACCTAACATCACAATTTCGCCAGAAAATTTATTGCTTTGCACCATCAGAGCGTTCTCACAAATTTCAGCAGAATAGTAAACATCTACATCGAGGTTCAAATGGTGCTTTAAAACCAGCAGCCCGCTTCCAACGCCATCGAAAAGAGATAGGACACGGACTTTCCTTTCATTTTTGATCATATGTACCTGTTGAATGATAATAAGTTACATCAGGAGTTTGATGAAATGTCTCCTATTCAGAGAGAGTGAGAAGAGGAAGAGAAAATGCAAAAAATAAACCAGAAAAGCTTTTTATGAAGGGAAGCTTGTTGTTGCCCTGATAGTTTGAGGATTAGATTATTCAAACTTTGGCCAATAAGTTTGGTTTGTAACACACAGGACAGATGTCATAAGAAAATTAATTGTATTAAACTTAATCTACAGGGTGTCATAGAAAATTATTCTGGACTTTAAGTAAGGCTAAAGTGCTCTCCACATAGAGAATTTAATGCTCATTCTTATTTAATAGGAACCAGGAGTGAGACCTTGATAGTTGAAGAGAACTGTATATTGGCTTATGTCGTGGAAAAATATGTGTCGCAAGATATAAAGGGGCTGCCTGCTCATTTACAACGATAACAGTTGAGTTTTGGAACAATGTTATTGTAGAAAGATGCATTGTGCAAAGTACTTTCATACCAATTTTAGAAATTTTCTTAAAAAATATAAGGGACTCACCTTCATTATGTGCTCGTGAGGGTACTTGCTACCAATGGTGCATACTGTCTGACCACACTCATCAAACTAAAAGCAAGAGAAATAAGATAGAGAGGTAAAAATGCCTCTTTAAACAATTTTATCCTAGGCATGCAGTGCTTACCATATCCTCGCAGTGACCGTAGAGAGGGTGGAGAGTTTTCCGTATCATTGACAAGGATATCTCATCATCAGAAAATCCACAGAAATCTGAAGGTGGTGTTGTTCTCCCATTTATTGTACCTAGGACAGTGTTGTTTGAGAAACCAGCGAAATGTTCAGAGGTTGCTGGTTCATATGATTTAGAAACCTGTAATAGTTTGGTACTTGTTAAAACACAAAGGCATGATTCTCGCCATTTAAAGAAAAAATTAAATGAAAGGCAGTACTTCTAAAGCGTAGATTGGATACGCACAGACACATTATGTTTGGTCCTGGTATAACTGAAGAGGGAACGCCTATTCTTCCTCCTTTTGCTTGGACGGATAGCAGTCACATTTTCAGACGGAATTTCTTTGGCTTCTGCCATTTTCTCAAGAATGACAGTTGGCTAAAATTAGAAAATTTCAGGATAGATGCTGTTTGTGAGGTTACATTATGACAATCTTAAAGAAAGAATATACGCGATAAGGGTTATTATAAGCCATACCTCCATTGTTTGGTGATCACAAAATCTGTGGAATGATATTAATATTACTGTAGAATAGGAAGTAGCAACGAAAATAGCAACTGTATATGTTATTTATTTACCCTGACAACAAAGACACAGACGAATTTGTCATAGCTTGAGTTATCAGTACTGTTGTCATACCTTACCCCAAGCAGAAATGTCTGCTGCACCTCATGGGAGTAAACATTCCAGCTGCCGTCTAAACCATATGTCATATTTGTTTCAGAATTAAGAAAACTAAATGTTATATCAGGTGAAACACTTCACCAGGCATTAATTATCATGTTTACACGTCTCAGTGGACCATTTGCACGATACCATTCGGCCACGGAGATTATGTTATGTTTAGTTGAAATATGTGCTCCAGACACTTTTCCTAACTTTTGTGAACATTTTTGTACCGGTGTTAAGAATTATAGGGTTAAACATCTTATGGTGCGCGTTTTAGTAGGAAGATTCGTTTAAGATGAATAGTGCATTGCTGCCCGTCTGAGATTACTTTATTTCGTTACAAACAGTGTGACCCCCTAACCTTGTCAGGTTGGTCTGCTATTGACTTGACTAGAAATGTTGAATGGAGCTCACATTTGGTATAAGAGGGTTGTTAATGGATGTACAGTAATGACCTGCTAATTTGTAAAAGCAAATAAATATAGCTTACAGATGGACAATATATTTTTCCCTCAATCAACTGCAAATAGAGTGTATAATCACCAAGTTTTAAAATCTTTTTGGAGATTTTTCCTTTTCAGCTTTCACACCGTAGAAATAAATTAGTTCTGAGCCTTACAAATTAGACGCAGGGCTGAAACTTAGAATCCTACTAATTATAACACTAACTTAGTTCTGTACAGAGTAAGAAGCTTATACGATGCTTTTTTCTTATTTTCCATCACCATTTTTAACACAAAGAACTATGAACTATCTGAGGGGAAAATTAGCATTCTATAGGTCCTTTTTAAGGAGTTTTAATGGTGAATCTAGTGGTGCCTATGAAAATTTTATATGAGGCATAGTCTTTTAGAATACAAAGGGTTCAAATCTTCTATTTGTTTGATTTCACTAAAACGTCTCATTCCTTGGCCCATAATTTTTTCTGTAGCATTTTAATGTTCCAATCAGTCAGGAATAGCAGCAGGGTGATGGTCCGAACGTTTTAGGACAAGAATGGTGCATAAGGATGCATATCAGCTGCTAGGTCACAATATAGGTTGAAAATGTCCAGTAAAAATGAAAGATGTGGATGGTACTTGAAATTCCTTCATAGTTGCTGTAGATTTGTGTTCTTTAGCTCATTTTTAAGGGATTTTCATGCTGAATCCAGTGGTGCCTCTGAAAATTTTGTATGTGGCATAGTCTTTTAGAAATGAAAGGGCTCAAATTTTCTATTTGTTAGATTTCACTGAAATGTCTTATTTCTTGGCCTATAAATTATTCAGTAGCATTTTAATGTTCCAATCAATGGAAATTCAGCCTTCCAACCTGCTTGAAATGGCCTGAATAAAAGTCATAAAGGGACCGATTTATTTGTGGCTGTTTGTTCTACCTCAAATGTAATTAATGATTTGAAAACTAGAACACAATGTGGTTGTTTAAAATTTGGATTCAACAAAACAGAGTCAACAATAGAATTTTGAGAGCATTAACAAAATGTACTTCCACAAACTGATTTTCCCAAGAATATGAAGATAGGAGGACCCTATATATCAAGCAGATTTCATGAACTTGGACAATGAATGACAAGAACATGATCAGATAGAAACAAAACAGCTAATAGTATTATGAGCATTTAATTTAAAACAATTGATAACCAAACTGATAGCCAAAGTGTGCCGAGGAAGTCATAATGTGGATTCTTTCATAGGTCTGCCTGTAAAAAAACATAGAAACCTTTGTCATACCTATGTAGTACTTGACTCCCTCGAAGTTTACACGAACTACAATCAAAAGTATTTGGGGCTCCGTCTTACATTTGACAAGATATATTGACTTTCACATATCCGGTAAAGCTTGGAAAAAAATTAAAAAATAGAATGTTCTGTTGGCTGAAGTCACTCAAGCAATGACTGCTGATGACAGGAAAATTCACTGATGTGAGAAATAAATGCATTTTTGTCTCCTGGGAGCCAAAATGTGCAGAGAAATCCAAAAAAAGGTTTCTCTCATAGCTCTTGCTGTGAAAGTGGGACCTGATGGTGTGGAATCAAATTTGTGACCCCCAGAGCATTTTACACCCCTGGAGTCCATTACGTGCCCTGGAAAGGAAAGCCCAAAATTGGCCTCCCTTTCCCAAGCCACCCAGGGGACACTAAAACACCCCTGGAGTTCATAACTTGCCCTGGAAAGGAAAGCCCAAAACTGGCCTCCCCTTCCCAAGCCACACAGGGGACACTTCAACACCCCTGGAGTCCATGAAGTGTTCTGGAAAGGAAGGCCCAAAATTGGCCTCCCCTTCCCAAGCCAACCAGTGGCCAACATAACATTCCTGCAGTCCATTTCATGCTCTGGGAAGGAAGTCCCAAAAGTGGCCTCCCCTTCCCAAGCCACACAGGGGACACTTTAACACCCCTGGAGTCCATTACGTGCCCTGGAAAGGAAAGCCCAAAATTGGCCCCCCTTCCGAAGCCACACAGGGGTCACTCTAAATTGCTCCTTTGTAAATGAGATTTTAAAGTGGGAAAATCTGGGGCTTTATGGAAGGTAAGAGACTCTTTCTCGCCCGGAAATTGCAAAGAATCTGGTGAAGCCATCGAATGAGAGCTGTTTAGGCTCTTTCCAAATCATTTCCCTGGTCTTCTCAAAATGATTTCATCAAGAATGTGAAATGTTTTGTTTGCATGGCATTCCCACTGCCATGCAGGGCAAATCTGGTGGGATAGTGATGTGCACATTCATTTCTTTCTGCATTCTATTTTTTCAGTCAGACAACTGTTGGTGTAATGTGGATTTGAAAAACAATGAATACATAAACAGCTATCTAAGTCTTATTATTTTCAAACAGTACAACTTTTCATTTCTGGTTTGCCTCCCTTGGCAAAAGCCTTCCCCTAGGCAGAGGAAGGAATAGAATGCAAATGAAAGAGGATTTTTTCTAATTCTCTAGCTGTAAGATTTACTCCTGTGGGACAGATACTTTGGAAAATACAGACCAATGTAGAAATTTCTACATTGCTTGCAGATTCAGAGTTGAAGGTTCTTGGCAAAAGCCTTCCTCAGGCAGAAAAATGAATGGATTGTAAATTAAAGAGGATTTTTTTCTGAATCTCTGGGAGTAAGATTTACTCCTGTGGGACAGTACTTTGGAAAATACAGACCAATGTAGAAATTTCTACATTCTACATTAGACTGGTTTCTATAAGAGTTTTGCATTTCAAAATGCCATATAAGACACCAGACAGGTTTTTAAAGTAGTACCATCAAATTATTCTAGTAGGATAAGGTAATACGTCAAAAAGGGTCTACAAGAGTAGTTTAGAAAGAAAATTGTATTATAAATGTAATGAGAAGTACAGATTAAATGTTAATAGCATGCATAAACATGAATCATAAGATAAAACACAATTGAAAAATATTGTAAAAAGGTTTTAAAATCTTCATTAAAATGATCATGTAGATATCAAAACTAGGAGAAGTCTCCATCATCCCTAACTACGAGAAGGGCTGGAATTTTTTTGTCACAGGACAGTGTCAGTTGACCAAGTCTTGTAGCAAGCTTCTTACCTTCTGTCACTTTAAGTTGGTCTACAGATATAGCTGTTTTTTCTGCTTCATTGCAAATGTCGAACTTGGAAACTTCAGAGAGCAGATGTGTTACGACAGTGTCATCAGGAGCAGGTGCACCTGCAGCTGCAGTCAATGACCAGTTTTGAAGACCTTTTGCAGCTAGCTTGTAACCTTTCTTCGTGGGAAAGGCTTTAAAGTTCAGACCTTTCTTCTTGGCGCTGTGCTTTCGGAAAACTTCAATCAAAGTTATAGTGGAGACCCTTGCATCCAGGACTCCCTCTTCATCGGAGGAGTCTCCACGTGCCTCTGTTTCAGTGTCCCTTTCGTTGGCCTGGGTTGACTCCTTTGCGTCGGTGAGTGATCCAGTTGCTGAATTTTCTACCATATCTGATATGTGGCCAAGGACTGAATCAGATAATGATTCTTCATACAGAGTGGCAGTATCAGGTGGCACAACATCAGACTTTTCGATCCCAGAATCTGACTGGTCATGTTGAGCAGAAGTAACTTTTGCAGAGGAAGAACATTGAGCCATTTCTTCTTTTTTTTCTGAGAAGAACCCCTCACATATATCCTTCACCATCTTCTGTAGCATATTTTCGTTCTTTAAAATGTCTTCCACCTGCACCCTGATTGCACATGGCTTAGTCAGGAACTTCGAAATTTTATCATCATTGAGGGTAGGAGTGGATGTCTTGAGAGGGGTGAATGAAGACCCCGACTGTCCGTCTAATGGTGACTCTGAACAAGACACCTTTTTCTTGCTGATGCTCAGGGCTTGATAGGGTACTTGGCATGGTTTAGAAAAGGCTCCAGAACCTTTGGTCTCCTCGGGAATTGACGGAACATCTTCTTCTGAGCTCCCTGCTTCGGCCAATGATGGATCATGAGGGGGCATTTCGAACTCTGTGACACCAAGCATGTAACTTCCTCTGGAAAAGAACAACAGGTGAGGCCAATGAAGAGAAATGAGAAAAAGTAGCATAGACTCAATTGGGCTCGTTGCCCGATGGCTTACTTGATGTACATCCTTTCCGCTGGCGTCAGTCGTCGGAGTCGCTGATTAAACGTGCCACACTTAAGTTCATTGCGGAGCTTCGTGCTTATAAAAGTTTGGAGACCTGATATTTCCCTGTTCCTGAGATGCTACAG